ACTCTTGTTCATGTGGAGTTTTAGTCGAAGCGCACTAAGCGCAGCCGTAGATTGAATGTGTATGTGCAGAGGTGTCAATCCAAGTATAGCCTCAAGTGCTGCAGTTGGACTTGTCCTCATAGCACCAGTCATTAAGAGACACGCTAATCTCTGGAGCTTCATGCAAACAGCAATAGATCCAGCCTGTGTGACCTTTTGCCACCAAACCAGGCAACCATATGTCATGATAGGACGTACTACTGCCTGATATATCCAAAATATAATCTTTGGGTTTAGGCCCCAAGTTTTACCTATACAGGACCGTATTGTCCATAAAGCCGTTAATGCTTTGTTATATACTTTATTTAAGTGTGAACTCCAAGTGAGTTTACCATCTAGGACAACACCTAGGTACTTTGTTTCACTGGAAAGAGAAATATTAGTGTTTCCTAAACGTACGGGACCTATGTCTAGTTTACGTTTGAGTGTGAAAGGCACAACAACAGTTTTCTCCGGATTTATGGAGAGACCCTCACTTTCGCACCACGCTAAAATGCGTCGAAGGTACCCTACCAAGATCTCTGATAGACTGCTACCATGCTTTCCAGATACTATTATAACTAGATCGTCTGCATACCCAATGGCGTCACAACCAATATTCTCCAACAAGATTAAAAGTTCATCAACAACCACTGACCAGAGCAAAGGAGACAGTACTCCACCCTGTGGGCAACCTTTTGCGGCCTCAACAGCTACAGACGTTCTACCTAAGGTTGATGTAATTTTTCTGTTTTGAAGCATCGCCTCAATCCAGGAAATAACATTGAAATCAACATTTCTGTTAGTTAAGGCATTCGAGATCGAGCCATAACTCGTATTGTCGAAAGCTCCTTCAATATCCAGAAATGCACAAAGCGCAATTTCTTTGTTTTTGTGGGCCTTTTCAATTTTACTGACCAAGTTATGTAAGGCCAATTCGGTAGATTTCCCTTTGGAATAAGCGAATTGAGTTTTGTGAAGAGGTTGACTTTTAGACAGTTCTGTACGAATATAGATATCTATGAGTCTTTCCATAGTTTTCAGGAGGAAGGATGAGAGACTAATCGGTCTATACGATTTAGCGTCATCACTTGGTCTATTACCATTTTTTGGTATAAATACCACTTTCACTTCTCTCCAAGCTTCAGGTATATGTTTCCAGCAAAGGCTAGCCCTAAAAAGCACCTTTAAAGGATTGATAAGAACGTCTATGCCGTTTTGTATAAGTGCCGGGAAGATACCATCACTTCCTGGTGACTTGAAAGGACTGAAAGAATTAACTGCCCATCTGATTTTATCAATGTCAAAAATGATACCAGATAGCGACATTAAACGATTGTCTGGTTGTTCATAACTTAACGTGCGCCTATCTATGGATGCATCACATAAGATCGATCCTGGAAAGTGCACATGTAGTAAATGTTGTAAAGTTTCCCTGCCATTTGCTGTGTAGAGACCATCATTCTTTTTCAATAGACCAATGTCATTTGAAAGAGACTTTCTCAACACTTTATGAAGGCGAGCCATTTGCGGAGTGTTGTCAACACCGTCACAGAAAGTTTTCCATGATTTCCGTTTAGATTTTCTAATCTCATTGTTGTAGGCAGTCAAGGATGTTTTATAGTCGACCCACACCTCTGATCGCTTTGCTAAATTAAAAAGCTTCCTAACCTCCCTGCGCATTTCTTCGAGCCTTTTGTTCCACCATGGCACATCCCGTCTGGATGTACGTGGTTCAACCTTACATGCATCTTCATGCGCCTGAGAGATAACAGAGTTTATTTGATCTGCAGCTAATTCAAGTTCATCAATATGACTGATTGAATTCAGTAACTGGTCCTCCTTACTAGCTAAGGATAGTCTAAAGATTTCCCAGTTGATACACTTACGTGCAGCTGGCAAATTTTTATGTAAAAAGTGACCCGGCAGTTCAAAAAGAATATGTTGGTGGTCAGATAAAGAAACCTCCTTTGAGACCCTCCAATTAACAACATAATTGGAGATAAATTGACTAGAAAGAGTAAGGTCAAGAACCTCTCTTCTAATGGCATTAATAAAAGTGGGTTCAGAACCATTGTTCAATATGCTGACGTTATTACTACTAAAGTATTCTAAAAGCATTTGCCCTCTTCTATTTATGTTAGTACTACCCCATAAGGTATGGTGCGCGTTTGCGTCGCAACCAATTATAAATTGTAAATTATTGGATTTGCAATAACTTGCCAAGTTTGTGACTGCTTCAGGTGGTGCTTCATCTGCATCGCCTGGAAAGTAGGCCGATGCGATCACGATCTCTCGTGTTCCGCACTCCGTCGGGATCTCAAAAATGGCCGACACCAAGTCCCTCTGGATGAAATCTGGAATTGGAATACAGTTAACATTTTTGTTTACTAGTATAGCAGTTCTAGGCGACTCTATGTCACGTTTATATATCAACTTACTTGATTGATGTTGAAGGCCTTTTATATGCCCACCGACTGTCCATGGCTCCTGGATAAACGCTATGGCCAGTCCTTTTGTGGCGAAGGTCCTGCACAAGGTAGCCGATGCTCCTTTCGCGTGGTGCAGGTTCGCCTGTAACACCCCTATGGTGCTCATTTTTGTTGAGTTTTATTGAGAGAGCGTTCGACTTCCTTTTGAAGTCGAGCTCTTCGTGGCCCTTTTTCCTTCTGGCGCTCTTTTGGAGCTGTTGATGCTCCACCCACAGGTGGCCGCATCCAAAGCCTTTTTTGAATGGCGGCTCTACTAGTAGTTGGGGCCTCATTTGGATTCACAATAGACGTAAGTGTTGATTGTGGGACCACGTGCTCCACTTTCTGTTTCTCCGTCCTTGTGATCTGGAGTTTATTTGGAACCTTTTGTTCCACAGGCCGTTGTTCTGGCTGCCCCTCCTTTGTCATACTGTTAGTTTTAAGCAGTAGCTTGACATGGCTGAAGCGATATGCAATTCTACCTCCACTCTGGACCAGTGAGTTCCAGGATGCATCGTCGACAGCAAAGACGATGTGGAGCAGTGAACCTTCTGCGGTCCGCTGTAATACCTTCCAGGTGCTTGCTTTAATCCTGTTCTGGGCCTCAATTGTGGCAAGAACCTTGGTATTTTCAAAATCGCAACTGTGTGGGAAGTATCCTCGCACCAGATGTGTTTTTGGAAACTCCGACTCTTCAACCACTTTGGCGCCCAGTTTAGCCTTTGTTGCAATAGCTGCCGCATTTTTACGGACCCATTCAGCCGTTTGGTTATTTGTGCACACCATCATGAGCCATCCCGTACGAGGGAAACAACCTTCAAATTCTGGTTTAACCTCGTCAGACGCCAACTCTATGGCAGTCTCAATTATAGCCTCCTGTAGGTGTGCAGTCTGTTCCCTGTTTAGGGGGCACTTAGCCAAATCAAAAGGAACAAATCCTAATTTGATCCCCTTGGCCTGACTGGCTACTTGGCTGAAAGAGGGTTTACTCGATCCCTGAATCGAGGTGTTTTGTTTTGGTTTCTTACCAGCTGGCATGACCATGTCGTCAGATAAAGCCCTTTTAGCTGGCGCACGAGTTGGAAGTTTAGAAACCATGTCTAGGGCCACATCCCTAGAGTGTCCCTGACTCATGTAAGCCTTTAACCTCCTCTTCTGCATTGAGTTCAGTTTCACAAAACCCTTCTGGTCATGTAAACTGATCCCTTTCATACAAACATTGACAACAGTAGCACCTGACTGTTGAGAACAGAGACTGACTCCGTCAATGTCAATAGAGGCAGCATCAGACCCTTCAGTTTCTGTGCTGCTAGCATCAGTATACTGTGGAAAAACAATATTTTCCACAGCGTGTATATTTTTGCAGATGTGCCCAACAGCACCATCTGCAAAAGGTTCACTGACCTGTGACACAACAGTCGACTGGTCGTTGTTAATTCCCTGCCCGACAGCAGTAGTGTTTGATGCGATAAGGGTAGCATCATCCCCTTTAGTTTGTTCATTAGACGTATCCATATGATATCCCACGAGTATTAGGGAAGTATAAAGTCGCCATCGGCAGAGCCCATTTACCGACAGAAGGCAAATTGAAAGCGGAGGTCGCCTGGTATCCGCAGTTCGCTATTAAGGTCATCACTAGCCCCGTGACCAAGTTCCTACAGGCATAGCTGTTCCACCGTAGATTGGGGGGTTGTTCGGGTCTCATTCATACATACACACATACTACACCATACACCATACATCCTAGGTACAAAAAATATAGATTGTTTCATATCTTCACTCAAACCCAGGGTGTTTTCCTTCACCCCGCCTAGTTGCTGGCGACCCCAAAACCAGCAGAGACATGACCTAACTGCTTTGGGGTCATCGATCCTACAAACAACTAAACTTCCATTAAAGGCCGATCGATTGACTAACGAACTTAATGAGTAGCACCAAAATGCAAAGACTCATCTACTCCCCGAGACGCTAAGATGGTATAGTAGCCATTCGGACCACGTCAGTCAGCCTACATAAAGTTACTACTAATACACATAAAATTACTACTACTACAAATACTACGTAAAATAAAACAAACACAACTACATAAAACAAACAAAACATAGACTACATGACAACACAAAACTACCTAAAGGTAGATCTTGGTTGTACACCTCGTTCTAGAAACGTTAAAAATTCACAGTCGTCTGACAAATGCCAGGTGATTGCGAATATTCATATTTATAGTCCGAGTTGTAGCTAAGCCCCTACACCACGTCAAGGTGCCTACCATGTAGAGGAAAATCCAATGACCTAACATAACGTACAAGAAAATGGTCTCGCCACTGATGGCATATGAATCCTAGACTTTGTTACTTTATAGAGCTATCAGACTCAAAATGTGGAACAAGGAATTTTTGGCCCCGTATTTAAGAAAAACGAAATATCGATTTTAAGAAATAAATTACATTTTTGTAACATAATATTTCATATAAAGTATTTATGGAAGACATATCCCCATTTCTCATTAAAATTTCAATACTCACTTACATTTTTGCTTATAAATTGAATTAATTAGTTGTCAATGATTACCTTCAAATGCTAAAAACAGAACAATTTATTGTTTAAAAAAAAAATAATAAAAATTATAAAAAACATGGTTTGATGAGAAGTAAATTTATTTGTGTTCTTTTACATCAATGTCAACAAAATAAATGACATTCTACCCCAAGGATACAAACCAACAATTGCATTAGATGCAACCAGCATTGAAGCTTTTCCGTACTGCCAATATCTTTTGAATGCTGCAAGGTGTTGGAAGCATGTTTGGAATTACAAAATGTACTGCAACAATACTCGTATTTTTCTATTGTCATAGTGAAAAATAAAGCATTTCATATAAATTCAATAGAAAGTGCAGTGAAGTGTGGTTTACAGGAAATGAAGTGCCAAAGCATATGGTTCAACATCAGAATCAAGCACTGTGATATTTGGGTTGTGGCAGACCAAATTAAATTTACAATTTCAGAATAGAGAAAATAAATTTATTATTTCTGCATTACAAAAACCAACCACTACCCAAAATCTTTCTCAGTTCAAATCGAGTTGTGTTAAATTTAATGGATGTATTGTATACTTTATGTCTTCGCAAGTAAGAAAAATGAGATGTACATATGTGCAATTGCAATTTGAATTGGTAAATTATTTACTATAATCCTTAAAAAGTTTTAATACTTTTTGTATATTACTATACCATAACATTGTCTTCATCCAATGAGAAACTAACTTGTAGATTGTTTAAAAAAAATGTCTACACTATACATACACATATATCTGTTCAAAGATAAAATTTGTAATTTTTTAAATTGTTAAAATAATATTTTTCGAATATTCGTAACGCTATATTCAGTGCAACACTAATCTAATAATACTAATTTTTATATATATATATATATATATATATTTCTTTTTTATTGCTACGAGTATTTACATTATAAACGACGAGTAGCTTGTATCTGATCAATAATATAAATGCATAAAAAAGCAATTTTCTAAACAAATGACTCTACATTCTGATTCGATGCCATGTCAGCGACATTTCACCGTTTTAGTCGTCTTGGTTGTCCATACGAGGTAATGATGTTAACAGCTTCTGTGATTGCATATACTAATATCGTAAAATAATACTAATAAAAAAGAAATTTTTATAATCTTCACAAAAATTGTTTATCATTCTAAACTGGAAAAACCAAATTCATTTAACATTGAAAGAAGAGATAAGAAATATATGTTTAGTTCAGTATAGCTTTCTACTCTTGCAAAAATGGATGATTCGTCACGATATTACACATGTGCATGGACTATTGTATGTCCAGTTCTCGCATATGATGTTTCCTCAATCATCGTCTCCCTCAATTCAACTGATGACATACGCATCCAACATTGCCATCGCCACAGTCTTGGAAAAGCAGGTATCAAAAGGATGAGGACAAGGATTATTATAAACAAGTAGCCTTCGCCTTCACATAGAAAACAGACAAAGTATCTCTGTGTCAATTGCGGCAGCTCAGCTTCGTTAAATCGTGACGTCAGCTAACAAATGATACTTCGAGCTAAGCAAGTAATTAAGAAATATGATCCTTTTTGGACACACAAAAAATACACTCTACATATCTTTTACTATGTCTATCATGTCTTCTGCGTGGTGCAAAAGCTCGGACAATTCCCAACAGTGATGGAAAGGTTTTATTGAATTAGCAGTATTAGAATTAGAAGTATCGAATTAGGTACTTGTTGACATGATGACTTGTTGATTTGTTGAAACGTAACATTGACATATCTAAGCGCATAAAAATTCAACGGTATCGCTGACATGATCAAGCCAAAAAATAAGGGGACATAATTTGAGTCGCAGTGATCTTGTGCTAGTTACAAGAAAATCACTTAGTAAAAATCATTTGCAAGAAGTACATAGAGCCATTCGATAGAGCCATAAACACATTCTTAAACACACGACTAATAAATACAAAATAAACATCTAAACCTTCTTCTAGAAAAAATGCACATATAACAAATTAGAATAATTTATCTGAAATTAACTTTGTTTTCGTTAGTTTTCTACATTTTACTGAGTTCTTTCATTTTCTTTTAATCAACAGTTTATTTTAATGTCTACAGAAATCAGATTTAATAACAAAAAAATATTGTCATTAATAACATGAAATGTATCTTCGTCGCACTCGTTACCATCTTTTACTCAATTCCTACTGGTTTTGTGTATTGGAACGCGAAGCCAGTAAAAATGGACAGAAACTTTGTGAATTTCTCATTTCACAATTGAGTAAAATTAAGGATTAGAATTAGTTTTTATAACAGTTTCATGCTTTGATTCTATTGAAAAAATAATTGTTTGATATTTTCTATTTTACATTTAAACGGGCATTTTGCTTACTTAGTAAGCTTATCTTACTGATAAATTTCATTTACCATACAAAGAGCTTCCGTGCTTTTTTACTTACTATAGCATATAGTAAACAAAATTCGACCAAAATTATACCAAAAATAACGAATGCAACATTGGAAATGATCGAAATTTGACATATGTGACACGTGAAACAAAATGTTCATGAATTTCACGCAATGAAATTTGCTGCATTTCTTCAGCTTGACACGCATACATATGCAATGTTATGTTTACGTTTACCTTTTAATACTGAATACTCTTAATTTCTGTGCTCTGCACTACTACACACAAGCATTTTGTACGTTTACACAAAACAAAACAAATTTCACGCTCATGACAGTTCATGATAGTGTAAACTGAACTGACAGTTCATGTTGTCGTCAAGCTCATCTCACGTCTATGATAGTGAAAATTGGCCCAACAGATTAGAGTTGTTTTTTAACATTTGTTTTTTCAATAAATTATGTAATTAATATATGAAAATATAAAAATAAGTTTATTTATCAAATATATATTTCAAATCATTACAAAATATCATATATAATAATATATGATATTATATATATTTAAAAATATTTATTTCGGGTTAACATCAGAAAAGTAATAATTAAGATCTCACAAGTTTGATTTATAAATTTAAAATTGTGTTTACTGTAAAATAAAAAAAAATCACCCGGAATGCGTTTGGGACCGTAGAACTATGGGGGCAAAATCTTATTCGATAAAGAAGGTGAAACAGGTTTTATGGTAACTGCGTCCGTAATACAAACGAAAGTGCACTTCATCCAATATTTTAGGTAAGTGAGCAATAAGTGCATTTTCTATTAAGTCGTTACATTTCTGTAATTAAAACCACATAATCTTTTACGATTAATATTAGATGTTTTATTTAATAATTAATGTAGTATAATGAATAATTATTATTGAATTATTGAATTTAGTATTATGTTAACTACTTTTATAACAGAAAGAATCAGCAATGTATTGTAGTTTTCAACTGAGACCCTGTCATCGTTATCAATAACGTATATCGAATTTTAGAGAACTTTTCTATTGACAACACCTTCGTATTAATTTCTGATCGCCCTCTTCGTCGTTACTGCCAGCGTCGTCAACATCTTTGAAGTCAAAAGAGAACACACCTACAAAGAAATGAAAAATTAATAATAACCAAATATATATTTTTATTTTTAATAAATTATAAATAATTAAAACTAAAAATGGAATAATATAACTTTTTTGTAATTTAATAATTGTAGATGAAAAATATATAAGTATATATTTTTTGTTGTTTTTATTTTTAATTTATAAGTTATTAGTGTTATTATTAGCTATTAGTTAAAATAAAACTTACTGAAAATTTGAACTAAACATCGCCTTATATCTTTTCTTATGGATTGTGGTTATTTAATCTTCAAACTTGTTTTTAACCCCTCTATTGTCTTTTCAGAACCAACATACAGATTTCATTCTTATTTAAAATAGCAACTCAGTAAAATTTTATTCTTTATTTAATAATATTTACTGCCCATACTTACTAGAAGTCCAGCACTTAATTTGGTTTCTAATAATC